ATTATGTGTGTTATTCCTCCCTACGTAGTGCGTTTATTTATAATAATAAGAGGGAGAAGAAATCCTTCATCCCCAAGGAATACAAGTCCATATAGGAAAGAATATCTAGAATAAAATATAATCTAAGATTTATATAGTCACACTTAAACTAGGAAAGTTTATAACATATTTTCATTAATAAAATAGATTAAGAAATCAATCAAACCGTAATTTATAGGAGTCCTCGTTGTATCTTCCTCCTATCCTCTTGTCATTGTCTTCTTTCTTCTTAGGATTACGAAATCAATACCCTAATTTTTAAATGTCACTATTACATGCAAAGCATTTGATCATCTCTTTTAACCACAAAAAACGAAAACAAAATTGTTGGTATGAAAACGAAAAATCACAATAGGATGAAAAGCCATGGTTCTAGGCTTTTTGTATTTTTTTCAATTTTTTTTTTTTAATATCATTAGAGTTTGGATGGAGTGCCAATGAAGATAGGAGAAGGAATAAGCGAATGGGAATGGGGGATGAGATTGGAGCTACGAGGATCAATTGGAGATATGAATGGAGTTAGAGCGGGTGAAGAAAACATAAAAAAATGCAATCAATTTAATTTTGATATAGGTTTGTAATTAATAATATATGAAATTGAAAAATTCATTTTAGCTAATGTGGGTGTCCAACTTATATGCCACCTAAGTCAACGTCACCTGTGTCTCGGTGCAGCTGGCAGCCGCGGGATTAGGTCGGTGAGGCTGGAAGCCACAGAGCTAAGGTCGCTGTAGTTGGAAGCTGCGGAGCTAAGGCAGGCTAGGGCCCGATCACGCGCAAAAGGAAGAAGCCCTGAAGTGTTGGGCTTCATATGGGGCTGGGGTGCTGGGCTACGGCCTGGTGCACTGCCCCTTGTTGTTTTTTTTTTTCCCTTTAACAATCTTCTGAATATATCTAGTATTTTTGTGCATGATTTTTACAAAATGTCTTCCTCCGAGTGCAAAGGTGATAAATATCCCCCACCTAAGTATCGTCAAGGTGAGTATTCTGGATGCGTAGGATACTTCAGAGCTGCATAAGCCAAGATTATCTTTGATCTATTGTTCTGAGACTTTCTTGAGGAATTTAGGCAGACAACCCCATCTGCGATTCATGTGAGGCGCGTGAAAGACAGAAGTAGACATAAACCATGCATTAACGGTTTTCAAGCTGCGTGGAGAGTTATCAAGCTTGATCCATACTACTTCATCTTGGGATTCACCTTTTCCATATTGTTCTTTTTCTAAAAGGTGATATATCCATAAGGTCTGCTCTTGCAGTGTTCCCCCAATGCAATATATTCATGCCATGGTGGGATTTTCCAAGTTAAGTAAATCCTTGATCTGGATTTGACCATTGACGAATTCTGGTATTCCTTCGAGAATGGTCATAAGAATGGCTTGAGGGGGGTAGTTAAGGTCTACGCACTATAAGTTTTTATATTCTTCAACCAAGGGTGACCACGAATGAACCAATGACACTCTAGGATATCAGTGGTGAGTGGAAGTTCGATTCTTAGTTAAGTTGCGTGTCACATTGAAGTTTATTGAAGGTAAACGAATTGATTTATTCTTCGTCTGCTTGAAATCAGGTAGGGGCTACTTTTAACTTTGGATTACTGAATATCTTCTTTCCCTGTGCAGATGTGGAGTTTGGATTGACTCATAAGAATAAGCCTAACATGAAGAATGTGTATCTTCGTGGGGAGACAGATGAACTTACCACCTAGATAGCAGATTAAGCGAATTAAGAAAAAGTGTATGCTCCCCCGATTGTTATTGTCAAGCTTGTTGCTAATTTTAGTAAAAAGAAGAAAGTAGTTTTGTCACCTGCCCATGAGCCATCAGTTAAGAAGAAACCAATGACTTCTTATGCTACTCGTGGAAGTTTTATTGCTCCAAGAAGCTTGTCATCGATCTTTCTCCTTCAAATGATAAAAAGAAAGTCGTTGAGCTTATGACGTTTGCCAGTCTGAAAGAGCTAAAACCTTGGCTGACAAGATTGCTTAACGTAATAGTTCTGTGCTGCCCCCAGCGTCTGGGTTTGGAGATTGAGTAAAACGTCCATCTGTGGCTAAGTCTAGATTGGCTTTTGAAAAGCTCACCTGCTATAAGAATTGGGAAGGCAGATTTAGCTGCTAAAGAGGCGTCAAAGCCTGTTCCTTCTGTTTGTTGTCATGTCAAAGTTGCCTGCCAAGAAACAGGAAACTACTCTTGATGGCAGTTATGAGAAGTCAAAAGATTATATACCTAAAGACTTTTCTTATATCCACTTGCTGCTCAATTCTGACTTGCTTACAAATTCAGCTGCTTGGAATAAATTTGTTGAATGTGTTGGAAAAACAAGGTGATGAGTGTCTTTTCGAGGTGTCCTCCTGATGAACGAAGAGCTTCTATCCTTGCTATAATGCAAAAGACCCTGATCTTAATTGTTGAGACCATTCGTCATGATAAGGATACAATTTGTGATGCCAATGAAGCTGAAGCTTGTAATAGTAGTTAAAGCTCATTTTGCCAAGAAAATTGAAATTCTAGAGGCCAAGCTTGCTGAGTTAAAATTGAAGGGGTTCATTACTTTTACCTCACTTCGGCAAAGCTGGAACCAGTTCATCAAGAAAATAAGGATTAGAAGCTTGTGCTTGTTACTTCTCGATTGCCAATGAAAGCAACACAGAATGATAAAGAACTAGACCCACTGAGAATCCAAGATCTGGATAAGGTTTACTCGGAGCTTCATTCTGCTTACTTCGCAAGGATCAGGAAATTATCACTTTTGCCAACAAAATGAATTGTCTTCAGAACCCATGAATTTGCGTCCAAGGATGAGGAGCTGAAGGGCGTGTTGCTCACCAATGAGTTCTTGGATAAAGATTATGATGAGTTATGGAGTGTCAATAAAGACCTTGGTAAGGTGAATAAGCAGTTAAAGAGGAAGAAGGCGAATCATGAAAGTGCTCTTACTCAGACTTAAGTCAATTTCTACAAGATGGGATTTGTTGACCATTTTCAAGGAAGGTAGCTTGGTTGTGAGTTTTCTAAAAAAAGATTTGAAGACTTCCTCTATCCCCTTGGAGGATCTGCTCGACTTTGACTTCTTTGCTACTGTAGATAGAGCAGTTGAGGGTAAAGTTGCTGAGATAGTAGTTGTGGAAGATGAAGTGGTAGAAGTGCGAGTTGCTAAATGCAAGGTGGTTGCTAAGGAGCCCGAGATCATCTAAGCTGTTGATAGGTAGTCTGGTTTAAATGCTTGGAAAATTCTTTTTCTTTTTTCATCTAGATTTTGTTTCTCCTTTGTTTAGCTTGTGTCAGATTTTGGTGGCTTTTGTGCAAGTTTATCAATTTGTTAGAAATTTAATAAATTGTTTTTTCGCTTTACTCCATCCTTATAATTCAATTGCCTTGGATGTTCGTGAAACTTTGCTTGATTCAAGTGTCTTGCATAATTTTAGCCATAAAAGTGTGAACTAGGGGTGGGTTCAAAAAACCGAAACCAAAGTAAAGAAACCAAACCGAACCAAAAACTTTTGGTTTAGTTTCAGTTTTGATGGTTTGGAAACTGAATCGAACTAAATTAAATATATATTAATTTTATTTATTTATTTAAGTTAGGTATTCATTTTCTGTACCCAATTTCAAGTCAATCATCAACTTAATTTTAGACCCAAAATGTTCTACCTCAATCTTGGCTTTTTGGACTAGGTCTCCCCCCAGAATCACCTTTTAGCCAACAATTAATGTCATGATTTTTTTGCCAACAGCCATCCTATTGTTTTCCGGAGTTTCTGCAATTGTGGCAATAGCCATTGCAGAGAGCTCCACCTTGTGCTCTTGCATATACCTCTGCAAATCAATAAAGCACCATACAAACATATATACACACACATATATGTATGTGTTTGTATGCAAAACATTCGTATATAGGCAGAGAATTTTTTAGAACTCTCAATTCTCCCCCAGCAGCTCCCTGTGAATTTTTTATTTTTCAAAAACAATTTTCATCTTTTATAAAATAAAATAAAAAATCAAAACCGAACCGGAACTGGAATTGAACCGATAAAAACCGAACCGAACAAAATTGAAAAAAAGATGGACTGAACCGAACCAAATATAACTTTGGTTCAGTTTTCAGTTTTAGCAAAAAATCGAACCCACCCCTAGTGCGAACTGTTTCCACAGCTTTGATAAAAGCAGGCGTTCCTAGTCTAGGCCATAGGTTTTGGCTTTTTGGGGCATTGAGTTGCTGAGTTTATTGTGCTCTACTGCCCCTGACCATGTGATGCTGGCGTTGCCAAGTTGGTTGTTGACTTCATTGGTCGAATGAAAGTCGTCTGAAATTAGAACATGCGTGTGCAACTGAGGCAAGGTTCCATGAGCAGTGTACTAGAGCTTAAGTGATCTTGTACTTCACAAGGTCGAAGAGTGTGACACGACGAAGTCTTTCATAAGCTACCAGAAAGTTGTACTTCACTTGTAGTATGAGGTTGCCAATACCTTGAGCTACGTAGCTCGTCTCACAACATGATATAATTCAATGTGGATATGAAATTTGCTAACTAGTCACAATAAATGTGTGCAGTTGTATGGAAATTCATGGACAACAATTCAAGGAATGTGATGCACTTTTGGGTCATGAATCTCTTGAACTGCGTAGCTTGTAGCGTAGCATGATAGAGTTCCATGTGAACACGAGAACAGTTCCTTTGGTGCATATTTGCTTTCTTTCCTTTTTTTTTTTTTTTTTTTTTTTTTATCTCCGTTGGTATATAGCTTGCTTTCACAGATATATATATATATACACTCGTTTACAGTTTTTAAATACTCAAATATTCCATGGACCACTCTTAGGATAAAAGCATTCTTGATACTCGGGATGGAGCATCTTCCTCCATCTTCATATATATCCTCCTCTTTTCCCCTCTCTAGAAATCAGTATCAGAAAGTAATTAATCAATCAAATATACCGGCAGCAAGTAGATGCTTCAATGATCCAAGATAACAGCAGAGAATTAATTCGATTAATAGTACTTGAAAACTACATTCCTTTCATATCATAAGAAAGCTCACAAAATAATGCCAAATGATGTAGCTTAGTTAAAGTGCATCATCAGAATTCAACTTAAGCACTCTAAAAAGATAAACATCCAGAAAATGGAAAGAAGGTGGGGAAGGAGAAGGGAATTGAAAAAGGAAAAAAATATAGAGGGTGAACCATCTGGGCCACTATAGTGGCTAGGTAGTTCATGTCATCATAAGGGAATCATGTTCTTTTCTCAGTTCCTTCAGCAAAATACAGCAGTGCCTGAATAAGATGAGAATCATATTTATATATTAGTTTAAAAAATTATAAAAATAAAATAAAATTAAGAAAAACAAAATATTTGAAAGTAAATATATGTTTAATAAGAATAAGGGATGAGTGGTGAGCTCCCAGTGTAGAAAGCTTTGTTTTGGGGTTTGAGAGGGATAATGCTCCGTGTCTTACATTATCTTACGCCAACGAGTTAATATCTCTTTGTTATCTATATTTTACTTCAAAATAGTCACGTTTGTGCATATACTCACCGAAAAGCATGAAAATTTTAGGAGTTAAAATGGAAACTTGCCATCGTTGGAGTCCCTTGGAGCATTGCATCTGAAACATTCCGTCCTGCTAGCGAAATTGTGCTCATTGCACCCTGGTCTGTGCCATTTAATTGAACAATTACCATTATTTTCATGACATGGTAAAGTGGTAATATACGCAAACATGATAAAATATGGGAGTAATATTGCGACATATTCATTGAAAGATATTGTGACTAATCAGTAAAATGATAAAATTTGCAAATTTAACCTTGTACAAATCCAGTCTCCAGATTTCCATCCGGAGCGACCAGAGCTACTTCCACCGCTGCCAAAGCCAAACCCTCTGAGTGGCCTAGGCATGTCCCCCTCAAAGCCGCCGCCACCGCCACCACTGGACAATTCGTCCTTAGACGCACCACACTTGAAGCAACTGGAGCGGCTGGCAAAGTTGTGAGCTGCACAGTTGCCAACGGTGCAGTACCAGTCACCGGGGCGGACATCCGGACCAGTGGTGAATCCATATGAAGCACCACCACCTCTTCCGTACTCAACTCTCTCCCCACTCTTTGGATCCCCACACCTCTGGCACGAGTCCCTCCTTTGGAAGTTGAGATGGTTGCACGACCTACAGTTCCAATCTCCTGGCCTGCTCATCTTTCTCAATTTGGACTTCTAGATTTCAGACATATGATAAAAACAATAATGTATCAGTTAAGTGCAACGAAATTCCCCCGTGCCCTCTTAAAAAATTACAACATCATTTTGGCAAACTTCAAATTCTTTACAGACAAACTAACCTAACCTACAAAAGCCCAAGAGTGAACTTGAAATTTGAAAAAGCCTCACCTTATGAAAGCAAAGTTGAATAAAAATGCCTGAAGAAGATGAGACTAGTTATGGTGGAATTTGGTGATTAAAGTGATGTGGCTCGGGAGGTTTTTATACTTGCTTAAGGGCCTCGAGAAGCGGGTGGTGGATTGCACCCAGTAGAGGTTTAGGTACGTGGTTTTTTTTTTTGATATTCTCTGCATCACTTTGTCTTCCTTGAACAATGGAATATCTCACCAAAAAAAAGAACTAAATAAGGAAAAAGAGATAAAGAGAGATTGAAATGGGATTCTGAAGATACTAAATTTCTTTAGGGTTTCTAGAGGTTGCAAATGCAAGAACATTTTCATTATAAATTTCTCTAGTTAATTAGTTCCATAAATGCCCTACTTTATGCATCCACCTCGTATTCTAATATCTATAAATGCCCTAGTTTTAGTACAAATTAGCACAGAACAGAATGAAAAAAACATGGGATATTTTGAGTCTAATGAATTGAACTAGTCTTAGTTTCTCTCTCTGTTTTTATTGTTTTTCATGGTCTTGTTCTTTTGGTTGGGGTTGTCATTATTTGTTGTTAAAATGATTAGCTTGATGTTTAGAATTTAGAATTTGGTTATTTACATTTTCAAAACTTTTTACCAATTTAAATTTTGTCGTCCCACCCCCTTTTCTCACGACAACTCCTTACTTCTCCACTACTAGCACCCTTTGAGTGAATTGGAAATGATTCGCAGTGAAACGGCATACTGCTCTACACGAAATTGAGATGAGAGTTGGAGCAAAATTCCATCGTTATTGTATGTTTCCATCAGCCTACATATATTGTAGGAAACATAGTGATAATCGAAATTCAAAGTATAAAAAGTCGGGTTCCTTCTTATAATATCATGCATTTGTACAGCATATTGAGCAAGGAAAAACATGTTGATTTGACTTTGCTAAATTAATTGTACTATATATAATATTGGTCACGTCCCCACAAAAGGCAAATAGCCTGCATTGTAACCTCTAAACAGAGCGTAACATTGCAGCTAATATCATACTTTTAATTATTAAATGAACAACAACAAATTCTTTTGACCATTTCATATATTTAGGACCCTCATTTGCGCCAACAAGCTTGTTGGCTTTCCTGTTGAGTCAGGATCTTGGATAAGAAAGAACAAAATTCATTGTTTTTGACAAAATGAATATTCTTCACACACAAAAAAACCCTATAGGCGAGAAACGACCCCACCATTCTTATTCTTATCTCAAAATCTATAACTAAGGAGTGGTCAAGTATGGTTTTATGTAATTAGGAACACCCCCAACCCTAAGGGTCTCACTATGCGAGGAAAAATGGTGGTTGCTTTTCAATGTTTTTTTAATATTCTTTTTTGTACTTGGAAACGAAATATTTTTTCCTCCATGTCAAAAGGGTACGTTACGTACCATAATTTCTTTTCTACCCTATACCCCCAGATAGTAAAGGGATATTTCACTTGAGGTCAATTATTTATTTATTTATATATTTTAGGATCAGGTAATTTTCAATTTAGAGAGAGATAAATGAAGAGTAAACTTGGGTAAGTGGTTTTAGTCTTACACGATAAAAAAAAAAATCCATTGACCTAAGTTTGAAAATAAAGTGACTATTTACTAGATATTCAATTTACTTATATGATGTTGGGAAAAAAATTTTACTTATATGATGAATTACAAAATTATTTATTGACCTAAGCTGAATTTCCTAGATATTACAGGAACAAGTTATATGTTAAGCCATCAATTAGTATAAATATAAATGCAGCGATCATAAAATGTGATCCTTTCCATATCTTTCTCGAGTATATTTTACCCGATTTTTGCATGCTATGCCTTATAAGATTATTAACGATTAATACACTAGGTCAAAAGCTTCTCAAGCTCAAGGAGCACTCAGCTACTTCATACCATTCAAATCGGTACCAAATCGTGGCAAACTCCAAATATATAATAGACATGACCTCAAAATAATTGGGATCAAAGGTCAGCTAGTGAGATGATAGGGATATAAGCTTCTATCAATAGGGAAACAACCTGAATTACTAGCCAACTGACGAATCCTCCCTTTGCGCCTCATCATACATTGAACTACTAGTAAGTTCACAGGCTTATTATCTTAGGTCGGAAGCAGTTTACATGATTATGTAAATGATTTCCACACATCAATAGCATTTTTTTTCTTGTTTTAAAATACGGTTAACCAACATGTTAATTACTCGACTCACTAGTTTTTTTTTTATGGGTCAATACTCATTAGTATTTTTTAGGATTAGGATTGGTCATTGGTTCCACATGGCAAGCTTTTTTCTTTAGCCATCTCGATCGGTTATTTCAAAATTAAATCTGCATGCTTCCGCTTAATAATATTCCAATTTTAAAGTATCAAAATAAAAATTGTATAAAAAAAGAATAAGTATCAAATAAAATTCCATTTTAAGAAAAATATTATATTATTCCAAACAAATTAGTCAGGATTATATCCATGAATCGCATGAATCACCCTCTCACATCACATCCAATCTTATGCATAAAATATGATCACACTCGTGCATGTCAGCTGCTTCGCTAAATTAGAGAAGATATGTCACCATTGCCCAAGACATTGCTAGGCACATAGCCAAAGCCAAACATAAAAGCCGTTGCATGGCTAAGGAGCTTCAAACAATGAACGTCCAAATTTTAATAATTGAGAGAACGTGGAGTAGTAGTGGAAGATCAAAACCAAAGGAAGAAAGTAAGAGAGGGGGAATTAATTGGTAGAGTTTCGATAAAGATAGTCGAAGCTGATGGATGATGATGGAAGAGTCTTCGAGGTTCAAATTTTGACCATCTTTTATCCTTTTCTTTTTCTTTTGTCACTAGTAGTACATTAGTACTGCTATGCATGGCTTTTTCACTGTCATTTTTTCCCTTTCCTCCTCACAATCTTCGCTCTCTGTTCAAATAATTAAGGGGATTGAAATAAAAATAAAATCGAATAAAAATTCAAGATTACTCACCATGGCATTTTTCTTGGGGAATGGTAAAGAAGGCTGTAGCAAACTGTGAAAAAGCAAAAAGAAAGGAGGGGGCTGATTCGATTCTCTCATTGGGAAATGCTTCCATGCATGACCATGACCAAGCCCCGATACAATACACCCAACGTATATATCTTTTCGCTTTCTCTTTTTTAATCTTTTTAATTAATAAAACGTAAACAATTCTGATTAAAGCAATGTTAAGATGTTTGTGTACAAGTAGTTCATGCATTTTGAGTTTTGTCTTCTTCCCTTTTCTACCAATTGAGAAAAGTTATAGATGCAACCATAACTTTGGAGCAGTTTCTAACTTTTACATGCATGCAGACTAAATATTTCTTTTTAAATACAAATAAAGATAAGAGCATTAGGTGAGCTATATATCTGTGCTTGTGTTTGTTTAATTATGTTATCATCAAAACAAAAGATTAGAATATGGAAAATTAACTCAATTCTACAAATTATGTTTGTGAGTTTCATCTATTCACGTATCGTATGCATATTGTTGTTCAAAGAAAATCTAAAAGCACAAAAGTGAAGTTTTATGTTACTAATTTTTTCAAATGTCTTATTATACCGACTTCCTTACTAATTACTTAATTTGCGGTTAAAAGTCTCAGCAAGTTTTGGATTCAACTCCTTGAGTTAGCATGCACTATAATTGTCAAAATGAGAGATTTTCTAACTGTCATAAAAGTTAGCAATTTTTGTATCTTATTATGTTATAAGGTATTTTTCATATTTATGTATTAGGATTTTCTAGTAGAATAAGGATTCTGATTCAATTTTTGTATATTATTATGTTAAGGTATTTTTGATATTAATGTATTAGGATTTTCTAGTAGAATAAGGATTATGATTAGTTTTCTGTTTGTTGCTAGGGTTTAAGATGTTCGTTTGTTTTAAGATTAAGTCTTTATAAACACCTCTTGAAACTTCGTAAGAATTACAAGGTATAGTCTTTTCAAGTTGTGTAGCCATCTTTTGTTTGATTTCTCTAGTTTTTAGTCGGTGAATAATTGTTAGTTTTCATTGTGGTTCTTTATTTTTTTTTTTTTGTTTAATTTAGCTTTCACTTATATTGGTTTAATTGGTTTTTTTTTTTGTGAAAAATAAATTTATTCATAGAGAGAAAAACTTCGCCGCTTCCAGTAATATAGAAGAGAAAAGTATTTTTAGCAATAGTGGGTTAGACCTATTCCAAATAAAGTATCAAGAATGGAGTGCCCAACGCTAGTAATGACATCAGCAAGAAAATCCCATGATATAGAAGGAAAAGATCGTGCAAGTAATCTAATGTTCTCAATAATAGTCTTCAATCGCCAAGGCGTTTTGTACTCGTTCAAAATGGAATCAATAATGAGTTTGGAGTCACCTTTAGCAAAAACATCCTTAAAACCCTTGATGTCAGTTTTTTTGTGCTTGTTTTCATGTGTCAATTTTTTGTTTGTTTTTGTTTTCTTGGGTGTTTAAATTTTTTTTTTCTTAGGGGTTGGTTGGCCTTGCTTTTATTTGTTAGTGTTTTTTTTGTTGAAATTATGGTCATGAATTCTTGTTTCTTAATTGTCAGTCTTTACTTTGCTGCAATAGATCGAGTTCTAAAGTAGTTGTTGTGATAGAAGAAAAGAAAAATTCGTCGGACAAATATATGTTTATAGAATATTAAGATTAAGACTTTTAAAATTTGTTGTTCTTCTTTTTTCCATTACAAAAACAAAAACAAAAACAAAAATAAAAAAACAAAAAAAACCAAAATTCAGACGAACTATTTTTGTCCCATAAACTCATATTTTGTAGTCTTAGGTTTTGCCTGACAAACCTTCGTTAGGCAAAATTCATTATGCAAAGATCTTTGTGTAAAGTTTTGCCCGATAAAAATTAGAAACCGTCGGACAATAGCACTTTAGCCAACAAAAATTTCCGATGACAAATTGGTTGAGCAAAACTGCGTTGACCAACTTTGCTCGACGAACACCACATGCCCGACCAAAATATTTTATTAGGCAAAGTTTAAATTTACGGAAAAGATATATTATATTTAACCCGACAAAACTTTCATCGGGTAAGCTTTATAATAAAAAATATAAAGGGCTTACCCAACGACAACTTTTGTTGGACAAAAGAGCTTTAATATTAAAAAAAAAAATACATATATATATATATAATTTATGTTAAATTATGT